GAGTCAGCATCTGATGTTTTTGTTCTTGTTTCCCACAGCTTGAATCAATAAGCTGCAATGTGAAACTCTGAGTTTTGTTTCCAAGAATAAATGTCAGCCTTCGGGAACTGAAGGACTGCACAGAGGTCACTGATGTCCCAGATTTCTTTTTGGCAAATGGGACTTCAGCTAGAAAGTCCTTCTCCATGGAGCTGCTCTCCATCCATCCATCCATCATCCATCCATCCATCCATCCATCATCCATCCATCCATCCATCATCCATCCATCCATCCATCCATCCATCCATCCATCATCCATCCATCCATCAATCCATCCATCCATCATCCATCCATCATCCATCCATCCATCCATCCATCCATCATCCATCCATCCATCCATCCATCCATCCATGCATCCATCCATCCCCTATCCATCATCCATCCATTCCCCAGTCTGTGCTGGCCCTGGAGATTGTCCTGACTCAAGTGCAGAATCTTTCTAGCCAATCTCATCTCTGGTACCTTTTAAAACAGATTTCATTTGCGTTGCTTTAAGGCCATGAAACACTTTGGAACATGTTTCTGCCAAATCCCTACAGTTCCTAGGAAGGATTCCTTATTATTTGCTCCCAGAGGCCAGATCCTTGTGAGGCTTTCAGGTCTCTGCTTCCTCTTTGCATTCACCTTTAAAAAATATCCAACCTTCCATAAATGAAAGTTCCTAGATAAACAAGAAAGCTTTATTTGTTTAAAATTTTCTTCAAGGAACTGTTCCCAGGATCTTCTTTCATTTTTTATTGAAAGAGCTAGATCTTTGCCAAAAAGATCCTTCCAGCTTTGCCAGGTAACTCAGCTGGGAATTAGCTTGGAATTGCACTTTTCTCGATGACGTTTGTTGGTTATTGTCAGTAAAGACTTGAAGGTTGCTGAGGTAAAGTTTCTTAGTCCCAGCAAAGAGTCAAGGGCTGAGCACCTTGTAAGCAAAGTCACTGTCACCATGGTGTCCAGAGAGATAGAGTGACAGTACCTGTGGAGGGTGGAGGTCTGTGCCTGCCTGTTCCTGCCTGCTCTTTTGCCTGCTCCTGCCTGCTCCTTCCTGTGTGCCTGTTCCTCCCTTCTGCTTCTGCCTGTTCCTGCCTGCTCGCTCTTGTTCCCGTCTGCTCCTTCCTGACTGCCTGCTCCTGCCTATTCCTGCCTGCTCCTGCCTGTTCCTGCCTGCTCCTGCCTATTCCTGCCTGCCCCTGCCTATTCCTGCCTGCTCCTGCCTATTCCTGCCTGCTCCTGCCTGTTCCTGCCTGCTCCTGCCTGCTCCTGCCTGCCCCTGCCTATTCCTGCCTGCTCCTGCCTATTCCTGCTTGCTCCTGCCTGCTCCTGCCTATTCCTGCCTGCTCCTGGCTATTCCTGCCTATTCCTGCCTGCTCCTGCCTGTTCCTGTCTGCTCCTGCCTATTCCTGCCTATTCCTGCTTGCTCTTGCCTATTCCTGCTTGTTCCTGCCTGCTCCTGCCTGCTCCTGCCTTCCTATTCCCTCCTGCCTGCAGTGTCACCAGCCTGGGCTGTGTGCTCTCTGTCAGACAGGGGCCTCATCAGCTGTTGGCAGAGGGAGGAGGAGGAGTTTGTGCCCCTGCCTGCACCCCTGCCTGCTCCCTACACTGCCTGGGCTCCCTCTCAGACAGGCCCTGGGGCTCCTCAGGGGTGTAAGACTTGACCTTGGACCAAAGACTCCTTCCCTCTCCCAGCAGAGACTGGGGACACGTGGCCATGGGCATGGACATCTCTGCTCTTGCTGTACTCAGTGCCAGTGGGAATGGAGCAGACATCCTATGGGATGTGGGGAGCTTGGATCCTGCTCTGGAACATCCCATGTGCCCCCTCAGTGCCCCTCTGGCATGAAGGGATGCTGGCCCTGGCACAGCAGTGTTGTGGTACTCCAGCTTCCCGTGTCTGTGTGTGCCTGGCTGGGAATGGTTAAATAATCTCAGTGAGTCACTTAAACAGACACAGTGCATGTGAAAATAATTGTCTGGGCAGCCTGTGCCTGCCAGGCCGCCAAGTAATCCTCACACGGCCTGTGACTCAAATCCAGCCAGAAGGAGTGTTCTTCATGCTGCTCAGTTGGAAATGCTTTCAGGGAAGGCATCCACCCCTATCCCTGTCCCCTGCTTCCACCAGTGGGGTCCTGTGGCACTCACTGGGTCCCTGAGTGGCCAGCACAGGCTGTGCTCAGCACTTGTCCTGTGTGTCCTCAGTGGCAGCTTCATAATGGACCTTAAAGACCATCTCATACCTCATCTCATCTCATATCTCATATCTCATCTCATCTCATCCTCCTGCCATGGGCAGGGACACCTTCCACTATCCCAGGCTGGTCAAGCCCTGTCCAGCCTGGCCTTGGGCACTTCCATGGATGGGGCAGCCACAGCTGCTCTGGGCACCCTGTGCCAGGGCCTGCCCACCCTCACAGGGAGAAATCTCTTTCCAATATCCCATCTATCCATGTCCTCTGGCAGTGGGAGCCATTCCCTGTGTCCTGTCCCTCCATCCTTTGTCCCCAGTCCCTCTCCAGCTCTCCTGGAGCCCCTTTAAGCACTGGAAGGGACTCTGAGCTCTCCCTGGAGCCTTTTCCTGTCCAGGCTGAGCACCCCCAGCTCTCTCAGCCTGGCTCCAGAGGGGGCTCCAGCCCTCAGAGCATCTCTGTGGCCTCCTCTGCACTTGCTCCAGTAGCTCCACATCCTTCCTGGGCTGGCGTTTCCAGAGCTGGCAGCACGTCTGCAGGTGAGGTCTCAGAGCAGGACAGAGGGGGGATCCCTCAGCCTGAACTGACAGGAGAAGGGAAAGCACATGGCAGTGAGTGATGAGAAATTGTTCAATAGAATTGAAGGATGTGGGTGGGAAGGGACCTTGAAGGCCCCTGGCCTGTCCCCTCCAGCCTTCACCCAGCCTTGTGCAGAACATCCGTAAGGACAGACATCCACAGACATCCCACAGACATCCCTCAGCCTCTCTGCATCTGCTATTGACCACCATCATGGATGCTTTTCTTCTCAATATCTAATCTGCATTTTGCTTGCCCCAACACTGCTTGTCCTCTTCCTGTGCACCCCAAGCTTCAGTAGGAAGCTGAATGTCACCCACAGGGACCAGCAGGACACCTGGCCCAGCTTCTCTCCACCCTCCTGCAGGGTGGTCTCACACAGCAGTAGGGACCCCTTTGGCTTTCCTGTTTCCAGGTGAACAATCCCAGCTCTCAGCCCATCCCTGTGGCCATGGCAGCCTCCTGTCTCCTCTTGTCTCCTCTTGTCTCCTCTTGTTTCCTCTGGTCTCCTGTACTCCTGGTCCTTGTCTGCTTACCCAGCCTGGATGGCTGCAGGGAGTTACTCAGCCCAGGCTGGTTTATTTCTTTATTAAGAAATAATTTTTAATTCCTTATTATTACAGTTTTTAATTTCTTATTATAACAGTTTCTTATTTTTATCACTTTCCTGTTATTGGAAATTTTTATATTTCCTATAAGTTCTTTCAAGTAATTTCTTCACATTACCATTTCTTGTAATTTCTTTATTTCTTATTATTACAAGTTTTTTTTTTAAGAATGGGAAAAAAAAATTAGTCACTTAAATGAGAACTTAAACTGAAGATGTCCTATTCCTGCCACTGCATTTGTGCCCTTCTACAGCAAATATCCTGGGGTGAAGGACTTCACAGATGTGTTCCTTCTCTCCTTTTCCCAATAGTGCTGAAGCTTGTAGCCCAGGGATGGGGATGTTCATAGCTGCCAGAATGATAGGACCTTCCCCCAGAACATTCCCATCATCAGGATTTTCTAATTATGCCTGTGACTGGCAGCTGGCATCAGAACCATTGACATGAGTCAGTCAATATGCCTCAGCTCTATTAAACTAAGTTTTATTTAATTAAGTCTTGATCTCATCAAAATCAAGAGGGAGTGTTGGTGTGGCACAGGGAGAGCTGCACTGGCAGACCCCAGGGGGGTCCCAGTTTGCTGCTCCAGGGGCTCTGGCAGTTCCTGAAGCACAGATTGCTGAGGCACACACCTGCAAATCCTGGCTGCTTTCAGGGCATGCTGGTTTCTGGGAGAGGAACCTGGATGTGATCACAGAGTCACAGGGTGTGAAGGGAATTTGAAAGGTTCCACCCCCTGCCATTGCAGGGACACCTTCCACTGTCCCAGGCTGCTCCAAACCCCATCCAGCCTGGCCTTGGGCACTGCCAGGGATCCAGGGGCAGCCACAGCTGCTCTGGGCACCCTGTGCCAGGGCCTGCCCACCCGCATGGTCTGACATTTCCTCCCCATGTCTAACCTGACGTCATTCTTGTATTCTTGTTAAATTTAATACTTGTGTTGGGGCTCCAGAGCTGGAAGCAGCTGGAGGCCTCAGGAGTGTGAGGAGAGCATGGGGTGGTGGGAGTGCTCCCAGTCTGGACTGTGGGAGTGTTCCCAGTCTGGGGTGGAAATTTTCCAAGTCTGGATTGTGGGAATGCTCCCAGTCTGAATGTGGGAGGGTTCCCAGTCTGGACTGGGGGAGTGCTCCCAGTCTGGATGTGGGAGTGTTCCCATTCTGGGGATGCAAGTGCTCCCAGTCTGGGGGTGGAAATTTTCCCAGTCTGGATGTGGGAGTGTTCCCAGTCTGGAGTGGAAATTTTCCCAGTCTGGATGTGGGAGTGCTCCCAGTCTGGATTGTGGGAGTGTTCCCAGTCTGGGAATTGGGAGTGTTTTTAGTCAGGGGTTGGAAATCCTTCCAATTTGGGGAGTTCTGGAGTTCTCTGCTTTTACCCCCTGTGTTCTCAGAGGTGTATCCATGTCCTCAGTGGCCACATCAGGTGCCAATATTCAAATTTCAGCACTGATTGGTTTGACCACAAACTCCCAAAAAACTTACTTCCTTTTCAGACCAGGACAGGGGGTTGAAGGGCTCCGAGCTCTGGTTTCTACACTCTGTAGGGCAGCAGATTTCAGTGGAGGCTGCAGCACACCCATGTTTGCTCTTTGCTCTCTCCCCAGAAACGAAAGAGGAGCTGGAGGAGCTGATGTCCGACATCAAGAAGACGGCGAACAAAGTGCGCTCCAAGCTAAAGAGTGAGTGGTGACTAACTGAACTAAACTGAACTGAACTAAACTAAACTAAACTAAACTAAACTAAACTAAACTGCCTGGCATGGAGCTGTGGGCTCTGCCTGATGCACTCCTGTCCCAGGCTGGAAATCCTCCCAGGGATCAGCATCACCTTCCCTCCCTGCTGTACCCTCCTGATGCTTTTGTTTGCCGTTTTTCTCCCCTTGTGCCTCATTCCCAGAATGGGATTGAGGGAATGGGGCCAGGAGCAGCTGGTGGGCTTAGAGTGAGTCCTGTGCCTCACCTCTGGCAGGGCTTGGAGCCTGGGCAAGCCCCCAGCTTGGCCAAAGGTTCTGTTCAGGTCTGGGTGGTGAGGAGGTGCTGCTGTGGGATGTGCTGCAGGATGTGACCCTCAGTTTCCACTACTGGAGGAGTCATTCAGTCTCTGAGGTGTGAGAACAAGGTGGTGTCTGCCCACTGATGGTCAGGGTTGTGCTGGAGCATTCAGACAACCCAGAATTCCAAGACTGGGCCCCAGGGGACTGAGGGAGTCCAAGAGGATGGCAGAATCTTGAGACAGGGGGCAGGGCACCCTGGCACCTTGGATTTGCCTGTGGTGGTATGGACATCAGTCTGGGGTTTGGTTTGCATTGGTGCAGAGGACCTGGCTGTGTCTGAGGGGTAGGAGAGGGGCTGGTGCTTCCCCCAAGGCAGCAGTGTCCTCACTAATCCCAGGTTTTGTGGGAGTCTGGCAGTCCTGGAGGACTCAGATATGCCCAGAGCCCTGTGTAAGGTCACCCCTGGTGTGCCCATGTCCCATGTGAGGGCCAGCAGACCTGTACCCCTTGTTTCCATGCTCCCTCTGTCCTCCTAACACATGATGTCACCTAGAGCCAGGAAGGAGAGCCAGGGATATTTTATCTATTCCAGAGTCCAAGGGATCCATTCCTATGGCCCTGGATACACTGGGATCCCTGCTGATAAGGTTTGGCCTTAAAAAAAAAATCCTTTTCCATAAGTATTTTGTTCAGTGTTTTTTAAGGGACTTTGAAAGCCTGAAGGATTGCAGGACAGGCTCCTGTTTCCTGCTTCCAGAAAAGCCTCTCTGCTGTCATGTTTACCTGGAGCAGCAGATGCCTGGAGCTTGTGCTGTGTCCCACATTGCCTCCTGGCCAGCATGATCAATGACAGAAAACAGTCAGGGCTGATCAAAAACAACAGCTGCTGACAACAAACTGACTTCTTCAGGCCAGACATTACTCATGCAGGGCATAATTCTGATTGCCAGCTTCTTGGGGAAATGGGATTTTATTAGTTATCAGAAATGCCCAGTGTGTGCCAATGCCATTCCATGGGAATGGGAGTGCTCTCTGTGGGTGTGCAGGAGGGACTGATGGAATGCACTGAGCTGAGCTGGGGGTGAGCCCTGCTGCAGGAGGAGCCTGCCCTGTGCTGGGCTTGAGGGACTGATCCAGGATGGGAAGTGCTGGGGACAGCTGAGCTCTGAGAGCTGTGGGACACCAGTGTAGGGAATGGGGTCTTCAGCCACACTCCAAGGGTGCCACCAGCTCACATGGCTGGTTCAGGTGGCGATGTGTGTCCCTGCACACTGGCAGGCCTGCTGATGGCAGCTTTCTTCCAAGTTTTATAATCCCCTGAAACTAAATCTTTGAGTTAGCATGTCCTGAGCTGGCCTTGAGGAGCAGCTCTCATAGAATGCTGGAATGATGGGATGGTTTGAGTTGGAAAAGACCATAAAGGTAATCTCATTTCACCCCCTGCTATGGGCAGGGACACCTCCCGCCACTCCAGGCTGCTGCAAGCCCTGTCTGACCTGGCCTTGGGCACTGCCAGGGGTGGGGCAGGATTGCTGGTCCTGCTCTGTGCCAGCCCTGCAGTGTGACAGTGTTTGCAGGGGTCTTGGGATGAGGGAAGAGACGAGGATCTGACTCCATGTTTCAGAAGGCTGATTTATTATTTTATTATATATATTATATTAAAACTTTACTAAAAGAATAGAAGAAAGGATTTCATCAGAAGGCTAACTAAGAAAAAGAAAAGAATGATAACAAAGGCTTGAGGCTTGGACTCTCTGTCCAAGCCAACTGACCATGATTGGCCATTAATTACAAACATCCAACATGGGCCAATCACAGATGCACCTGTTGCATTCCACAGCAGCAGATAATCATTGTTTACACTTTGTTCCTCAGGCTTCTCAGCTTCTCAGGAGGAAAAAATCCTAAGGAAAGGATTTTCCATAAAATGTGTCTGTGACACTGCAGCCCACAGCCCCATGGGACGTGACCCTGCTCCTCCTCGCCATGGCCCTCAGGCTTTGGGCACTGAGGATTTCATGTCAATTAATGTTCCTCATTAAAGGGGCAGATCCCTGTGCTGCTCCATGGCTGCCCAGCACTCCTGCCAGCATGGTGGGTGCTCCCTGTGCCACTCCAGGCACATGGAGGAGCTGCTGGTTTTGGTTCCCTGGAGGAGTTTTGAGGTTTGGGATTTTGCAGAGACACTTCAGCTCTGGATTTTCTCCTCCTGCCTCTCTGGTGGGAGCAGCTTTCCAATTTGTTTGAATACTGACAATCAGACCTAAGCACCACATTGATTTTGTGTGGAAATCTTGGCTCACCATCCTGGGGGTGACAGTGCTGCTCTTTCAGCCCCAAATCACTGCCAGGGGCCAGGCACCAGGTGCTTTGCATGAAACAGAGCTTTGCTGCCAGGCTGAGTGCTGGAGTCAGGATTTGGGAATTGCCCAGTCCCAGCTGCTCCTTGATCCAGTGTTTCACAGTCCCTTTGCCAAGCAATCCCTTCTTCCTTTGGTTAAGCACTGGAGCTGGTGCTCTGGATGGTGGAGTCACCATCCCTGGAAGTGTTCAAAAAATGAGCACATGTGGCATTTGGCACAGTGGCTTCATGGGCTTGAGGTAATCAGTGGAAGGTTGGATTTGATGTTCTTGGAGGTCTTTTAAAGCCTGAATCATTCTGTGATTGTTCTCCAAAGAGCACAAACCATTGGAATATTTACCAATATAGCCAGACAGGACGTGCCTGAGCTTGTCTGAACCAAACAGCAGCACTGTGGTGTTTCACCCCACAGACACCTTTGGCTGGCTGGGTGTGTGGTGTTTCACCCCACAGACACTTTGGGCTGGCTGGGTGTGTGGTGTTTCACCCCACAGACACTTTGGGCCGGCTGGGTGTGTGGTTTCACCCCACAGACACTTTCGGCTGGCTGAGTGCTGCAGCTGGGCCCGTGGGGACAAGGCCAGGCCTGCAGGAGCTCTGGTGGCTGCAGGATGGAGCTTTCCCCCATAACAGGGGCTGCTCCTCAGGTTTCCCTCTGGCAGAGAAGCTTTAAGGGGATGGTGAAGGAAAGGAGTCGGTTCTGATGGAGGGTTTGGATCCAGAGCTTTATTCTGGCCCACAGGCCTCTGAATGCAGCACCAGCTCCAACAGAACTCCCTGAGCCCGTGGTTGCTGCTCCTTTAACCCCGGGGAGAGGGGCAGGGAAGGGGCAGGGAGCCCCCAACCAGGGACAGGAGGGGAGGGACAAAGGGACAAAGGACACCGTGATGGCCCAATGCCCCCCAGGGGTAGAGGGCATCCTTTGAATCTGCCAATCCTTTCTGGAATGCCAGGACTGACAGACAGTGCTGGGAGGGGTGAGGGTGTGGAAAGGAGAGGTGATTGATACACCTGGCAGGGAATTATCAGGGGAGGGGCCCGAGGTTCTGGGGTAAACCCTGAAATCACACCAAAAAAACGAACTAATGTGTCCTTGTGCCCTTCAGGCATCGAGCAGAGCATCGAACAAGAGGAGGGGCTGAACAGGTCATCGGCCGACCTGCGGATAAGGAAAACCCAGGTGAGCCTCTAAACAGGGAGGGGAGGGGGGACAAGGGGAAGCTCAGGGGTCCCAGAAGTGCTGGAGAGGAGGCCTGTGCAGGGGGATAGAGTATAAGAAAATAAAGATAGTGTAGAAAGTAATCTTACCGCTAAGGAGTTGCAGGTGGGCCAATTATCAAAGATTAGGAACAGCCTGACTTTAACAGGCCATGGCTGTAACCAATGAGAAAAAGATGTTATAAAAGAGTGGGGTGGCTGATTGGGAAGGGAACTGGAGTCAGTTGGCTGCTTTGTGAAAGAATCAGTGCTCTGAGGAGCTGACCATAAGAAACACCAAGATTATAAAAGAATAGAAGAGTTCTATTGAAATGATATATTATAAAAGAATATGTAATATGTAATGTAAAAATCTGTAATATATTTGAATAATATATAATTGATTCTCTTCTAATTAGAATAATATATAATTGATTCTATTGAAATGATATATTATAAAATAATAGAGGAAAGGATTTCATCAGAAGGCTAGCAAGAAATGGAATGATGATAAAATCTTGTGACTGACCAAGTCTGAGACAGCTGGACTGTGATTGGCCATTTATTAAAAACAAGCACATGAGACCAATCACAGATGCACCTGTTGCATTCCACAGCAGCAGATAATCATTCTTTATATTTTATTCCTGAGGCCTCTCAGCTTCTCAGGAGGAAAAATCCTAAGGAAAGGATTTTCCATAAAAGATGTCTGTGCCACTCTGAGCCTGCTGTCCCCTTGTGTCCCCCCAGCACTCCACGCTGTCCCGCAAGTTTGTGGAGGTGATGTCGGAGTACAACGCCACGCAGACCGACTACCGGGAGCGCTGCAAGGGCCGGATCCAGCGGCAGCTGGAGATCAGTGAGTAACCCACCCTGCCATGGGGCACTGCTGGGCTCTGTGGGCCACGGCCTGAACACTCCCAAGGGAGCAGAGCTGCTCCCTGTCTTGCTTTGGAAAGCCAGGAGTCTGCTAAGGAAGGCAGGAGCCTCCCCTGAAATGGAGAATGTAAACCCTCCCCACCCCTCTGAATTGTTACAAATTTAAAATTAAGGGGCTCTGAGGCAAAAATATGGGAGCAGGAAATAACAGTTCTTTAATAGGGAAGAAAATAAAAGGATAAAATAAACAATGCAGTACACTAGAACAACACTGCCAGAGTCAGAACCCAACCTGACACCCTGTGGGTCAGGGTGTTGGCGGCAGTCCCATTGGAATTGTGGCTCAGCCCTCCTGCAGTGTCAGGGGTGGTTCTGCTGGAGCAGGGATCCTGTAGAGAAGGATGTATTCTTCCTCTGAAGATCCAGTGGGAGAAGAGGCAGCTGCTGTTCCTCTGCGGAATCCAGTGGAGAAGCCGTGCTGGTGTCTCAAAAACCTCTGGATTATATCCATGTAGGAATGCTTGGCTCCTCCCTCTGGGCTCACATCTCCCAATGGCATGCTGTAGTTCTTATCAGCCATGCAGTGACATTCAATAGCCTGTTATCAGCAGATGTCCCCTGGAGGGAGGTGTGAATGTGATCACTCAAAGAGAGAGATAAGGCAAACTGCCCCCTTGACAAAAGACAGCTGCCATACAGATGGTAATGGAAAATATCTTGCCTTGCAATCTGGAACCATTGTCACTATAGGGCATGAAACAACACAAGCACACACTGCTGCTCTGAAGGTGAAGAAGAAAAGGAAAGTTTATTTTCTGACTCCCAACATTTATAGTTTTCCAGAAGTGACAGTGGATTGGAGGGTGACAGTGCCACCTCTCCAATGACACTGGACAAACCAACAATCCATCAAATTTCTCTTCCTCCATAAAAGAATGTAAAACAATAAGTTATTTACAGAAAGTGAGAAAGTTTGTTACAAGAATGTCAACATCAGAAAGCTTAGAAAATCTTAAAAAATCAGGGCGACACCCCCACAGCTGGGCAGAGCTCCTGGAATGCACAGGAGCCCCTGGGAGCAGCTGGAACACGGCTCCTGTGGGGTGGGACCTTGAGTTCCTGTGGCAAATAGCATCCTAAAATGTAATTCCTGTGGCATCCAGCAAATTACATCCCAAAATGCTGCAGAGAGCACAGGGATCACAAGGAGAGAGATTCCTTCTGTGTTGGCAGCTAATTTTTATTCAGAGAAGCTCACAGGATCTCCTGATTCCTGTGGGTGCTTGTCTTTCCTCAGGGTGCTCTTCTTCATGGATGAACTTGGCTAAACATGAAAACAGGGAAGGGAATTCTTGGGATGGGAGCACTCCCTGCTCCTGATGGTCTCCCTTGCACAGGAGGAGCAGGAGCCTCAGTGCTGCCTCTCTGGGCCCAGGACTGATGGCTCTTAGCAGCCATTATGCTGTGCACCTCAGGTGACGCCTCTGAGGCTGTGGCACCTCACCCAGGTGGCACTGCTGTGGCACTGGGATCTCTGAGCCATCCAGAGCCCATCCCTTAGGAGCAGTCCAGTCCTGCCTCTCTAGAAACACTCTCCTGATGGTCCTTCTGGGCAGCCAGTGACAGTTTAGAGCAAAGGGGTGATCTCCCAGCAAAGAACCACCATGTAATGAGGGGAATACTCAAGGGGGAAGGCAGGCCATGCAGAGATTAAAGGAGATTTTTGCAAATAATCTCACTTTCAGACATGTTGTGGGGTTTGTGCTCAGAATGGAAGGCTCTGAATTTAGTAATTTTTTTTTTCCTAAGAACCAAATGGATGTTTTTTATTTCCTCCAACAACTCACTGGGAATAATGACAGGAGATCTGTGAGTCAACCTGGTGTGCTTGGTGGTCACCTGTGGGAATTATTCTGGGAATCTGGGTGCTGTGGGAATTTCTGTGGAGGGCTGGAAGGAGACACAGCTGTGCAAGCCTAAATCTTTGTTCAGATGAGTCTTTGTGATGCCTGATGCTCCCAGGGCTGCATGGGAAGGCTGAGTGACACGGGGCTCAACAAGAGCTTGGCAGTTTGCTGTAAAGCTGGATGTGTCACTGCTCCAGCTGCCTGACTCATCCCTCAGCCACCATCACCCTGCAGTGACAGCTCAGGAGTGCCTTGTCATGTGAACAGCAATTGAAGGTATCCCTGTGCCTCCCTCTGAAAGAGGAGGCTTGGAAGGACTCAGCCTTGTCCTTGACTGGATGCAGACCTGAAAGAAACCTCCCTCTTGTTTACTGCTGAATTTTGGGAGGGCTCTGCTGCTCTGCTTCAATCCCGGAGATATATTGTTGTTTGTTATGGTGTTCACAGGGGTCTCAGGCTCAGGGAAGAGATGAGGATCTGACTCCATGTTTCAGAAGGCTGATTTATTATTTTATGATATATATTACATTAAAACTATACTAAAAGAATAGAAGAAAGGATTTCATCAGCAGGCTGGCTAAGAATAGAATAGGAAAGAATGATAACAAAGGCCTGTGGCTTGGGCTCTGTGTCCAAGCCAGCTGACTCTGATTGGCCATTAATTAGAAACAACCAACATGGGCCAATCCCAGATGCACAGCAGTAGATAAATAATGTTTACATTTTGTTCCTGAGGCCTCTAAGCTTCTCAGGAGGAAAAATCCTAAAGAAAGGATTTTCCATAAAATACGGCTACGACAAGGTTGTTCTTGTGTCTCCTCTGTCCATCCTGCCAGGCTGTCAGTGCCTGACAGAGCCTGGGGATGCAGGGACAGGGCAGCTCAGGAGCCCCCATGGAGCAGTGTGTGCTCTAGGAGAGGTGTCCCTGTTCCTGACACCAAGGGACTCCTGTTCCCTTCAGATGGAGGTATGGAGTGTGGGAGATAAATGCATTTCTCATTGCTGCAGAAGAGGTGCAGAGCTGGGCTGGGGAGGGACACAGCCCTGTGCACAGCCCTTTGCCAGAGCTAGATTCCCCCATCGGGACAGTGGAAAAGATTTCCTGGCAAAAAGACTCACCCAAAGGTGTCGCTATAGGACATGAAAGAACACAAGCACACGCTGCTGCTCTCAAGGGGAAGGAGAAAGGGAAGTTTATTTTCTGACTCCAACATTTATAGTGTTCCAAGAGTGACAGTGGATTGGAGGGTGACAGTGCCATCTCTCCAATGACACTGGACAGACCAACAGTCCATCAAATTTCCTCCATAAAGGAATGCAAAACAATGAGTTATTTACAGAAAGTGTGTGAGGAAGTTCGCTACAAGAATGTCAACATCAGAAGGCTTAGAAAATCTTTAAAAACCAGGGTGACATCAAGGAACAGCTTATGGATATTTTACCAGGAGGGCTGCCTGGGCAGGGGCTCTGCTTGGCCTGGGGTGTCCCAGGCAGGGCTGCAGCCCCAGCTGCTCCTGCACAGGCTCTGGGACAGAGCTCAGCTGGGATGTGCCTGCACAGATCTCCACAGCATCCTCAGCTCTCGTTTCCTGCTGAGGAGCCCAAAGATAGAAAGTGCTCTGACAGCAAAGCCAGTAAATCAATTGGGTTTTGAGTGTGAGAGCAGGAACTGCTCAGGTGCTCTGGGCAGGCTCCCCAGCACCAGCAAGCTTCTCCATCCTCACCACACCTGGCTCTGCAAGTAGCACAGTGGCAGAGTTGGTGATGTGGAGTCCCTGCCCTGGATGTAGCCACCCCCTGGGGCTCCCCACAGCCCCCTCAGGACCTGTTCCCTGCTCCTTGTGTGGGCACTGCTGTGTCTGTGCTGTGTAACCATCAGCATCACCCCGCCCACCCAGAGCAGCTCTGAGGGCATGCAGTGTGCAGGGTTCTGTGGCTGAATCCTCACCCTGATACCAGCCTGGGCAGGGCCAGAGCTGAGCTGGGTGACAGCCAGGTGGGCCAGATTGTACCTGTCACCTCACACACAGCTGGGCAGGACAGCATTACCCATCTCTCCGTGAATTGTATGGATTTGTGTCTGTAGTGTTGAAAAGCCAGCTCCAGGCTGGGGAAGGTGCCTTGTCCTCAGTGTGAGCCCCAGCTGTGGCTCTGCAGGTGCCTGTGCAGGGATGCTGGAGAGCCCAGCTGAGCCCTCATTTGGCCATGGACCATTGGACTCCTTCAGCCCTGAGCTAATTCCCTATTTATAGACATCTGCATGCAGGGTTGGACAGACTGCCATCCAGTGTCTGCTGAGCTGTGGCACCAGAGGCTTCCCTGGGAGCTTCCCCCACACCCTGGCAGGGCTGCTCCTGCCCCATGCCTGGGAGATGGTCACTGGGGTGGTCACTGTGTCCAGCTGGCCATTGCAGGGCCAAGGATGTGCCTTGAAGTCTCCTCAGTGGTTTCCCATTCACCTATCCCAGAGTTTGCAGTGACCTGGGCACTCTCTCTCTCTGTTCTCTCCCTGCCACCTTAGGGCTCAGTTTGCTCCTCCATGCTGTGGGCTTTTTGTCTTGTTGAGGATCTGACTCCATGTTTCAGAAGGCTTGATTTATTATTTTATTATATATATTACATTGTAACTATACTAAAAGAATAGAAGAAAAGGTTTCATCAGAAGGCCAGCTAAGAATAGAATAGAAAGGAATGATAAAGGTTTGTGGCTTGGGCTCTGTGTCTGAGCCAGCTGATTATGATTGGCCATTAATTACAAACATCCAACATGGGCCAATCACAGATGCACCTGTTGCATTCCACAGCAGCAGATAATCATTGTTTACATTATGTCCCTGAGGCCTCTCAGCTTCTCAGGAGGAAAAATCCTAACGAAAGGATTTTCCATAAAAGTTGTCTGCGACAAGGCTGTGAGAGAGCAGCCCCCAAACTGCCCTGTGAGCTCCTGGGGCTGAAAGCTTTGCTCTGTTCCACTCGTGGGGGAATTCTCTTGGAGCCTGTGGGATCTGTGGTGGGTTCAGGGGGCCCTTGGCTGACCTGTGTTGTGTGGTTGCAGCTGGCAGGACCACCACCAGCGAGGAGCTGGAGGACATGCTGGAGAGCGGCAACCCGGCCATCTTCTCCTCTGGGGTAAGCTCTGCCACAGCTGCAGCTGAGCCAGCCCCAGCACAGGGGATGCTGCTGCATGTGCTGCCACAGGGGCCTCAGGGCAGAGAAATGAGCACAGCCCATGCAGGAGAGGGTCTGGGAGCTCAGGTGTGGCCTGAGGATCTGCTGGAGCTGTTTGAATCCCAGCACCCTGCTGCAAACCCCCTGGCTTGGGGTGGTTGGAGGGGCCCTGCAGCTCCTGCTCATCCCTCTCTTGGTGCCCCCAGTCCCAGATTGAGTTTTGGTGCTCAGACCCACTGGAGCTGGGTGTGAGCATGGTGCTCAGTGGCCTTGCTTTGTCTGCAGATCATCATGGACTCAAACATCACCAAGCAGGCTCTGAACGAGATTGAGACACGGCACAGCGAGATCATCAAGCTGGAGAACAGCATCCGAGAGCTGCACGACATGTTCATGGACATGGCCATGCTGGTGGAGAGCCAGGTGGGGAAAAGCTGCAGCCCAGGGCTTACCTGAAGGGTTGGAGGGTGATGGGGGCTCCCAGGGGTGGGTGGGGAGGCTGGAGAACAGTGCTGCCCTGCCTGGGTGGGTGCTGAGAGGAATAAACCACATCCAGGAGCAGCATGGCTCCCATGGGGCTGAGTGGGCTCCCCAGGGCTGGGTGCTGTGTGTGTGGGGTGGGAGGCTCAGTGAGGGGCTCAGGAGGAGGGCAGTGGGTGGCTGCCCTTCAGAGGGAGGTTCCTTCACCTTCCCTGGAGCACCAGGCCCAGCTGGGTGAGCTCAGGTGGCCCCTGGGCTGTGCTGCCAGCCCTTGGCACCAGTCCCTTGAGCCAGGCACGGGCTCCTGTGTCATTGCTCACCCCCCTTCTTGCCCGCCATGCTGCCATGGCCCGAGGAGACGTCGGTGGCAGGTAAAGGCCCCCTGGTGCTGCATGCTCTGCTCTGCATGGCTGCTCCTGCATGGCTGCTGCTTGCATGGCACTGGGATTGACACCAGGACACCAAGGGTCACCAGGACACCATGGTGTTGGTGGCCTGTCCTGGCTGCAGTGGGGGGACATATGTGGGGATCCATGATTCCATGCTCTGAGGGCTGGACAGTGCCAGCACCCTTGTCCTGTGGGTGAGAGGGTCCCAGCACCCTTGTCCTGGGGGTGACACGGAGCCAGCACCCTTGTCCTGTGGGTGAGAAGCTCAGAGCCGCTGGCACTGGGAATAGAAGGGCACTGGGCAGGCAGCAGGGCTGGCAGCTCTGCTCTGCCCTGGCATGGCACAGCTAGAAGGAAGCAGCAGCAGTTTTACACAAGACAGGGAGCAGTTGGTGGGGCTCAGTGCTCAGCACTCCAAGGTTTGTCCTCCCTGTGCTCTCCAGCATTAGGGTGAGAAATGGGCATTGCAGAGTTGCTGGCTATGAGCCCATGGCTCTGTGGCCTCAATTCCCTCCATGCCATCCAGGAGGACACAGGGCTTCAAACCTCCCACTCCTGCCAGCCCTGCCCAGCTTTCAGACCTGGCTGTTTGCCTGCCTGGTCAGGATGGGGCCAAAGGAGGTGAACAAGGCTGGAGGAGCTCACTCCAACCCATGTCCGAGCCCCCAGTCCCAGCCTACCCCTGCAGCAGGGGCAGAGTGGGGCAGGGGTCCCTGTAGGGCTCTTCAGTCCTGGCTGGCCTTGCTGCAGACCCCTTCATTCCTGGCTGGCCTGGCTGCAGACCCTGCTGCCCTCGGTGCGGTGCATGTGCGATGGGAGCGGCGGTCCCTGGTCCCTGCTCGTGTGTGGTTTCCTGGGCATCCCCCATGGTGCTGCTGGCACTGTCCTTGCTCCTGCCATGCCTCCTGTTCCAGCAGCATGTGGTGTGGTGCTGGTGTAGATCCTGTTGGTTAGAGAGGGATATTGGGCAGGACTGGGCTGGGAGCTCCTTTGTCCCTCACCCTTGCTCGTCTCCCTGCTGGGCTGTGCACAGCGATGCTCTGGGACGGGGCATGCAGTGCAGAGCAGGAAACACGCGGTGCCCGCAGGCAGCTGATGGTTCTCTCCCCGTGCAGGGCTGCTGGGCAGGGCGGCGTCCCCCCGGAGGCAGGCAGCGGCAGGGCAGGAGGGAGCTGAGCTCTGCGCGGCCGGGCGGGCTGTGTCCCCCTGCAGGGAGAGATGATTGACCGCATCGAGTACAACGTGGAGCACTCGGTGGACTACGTGGAGAGGGCGGTGTCCGACACCAAAAAGGCCGTGAAGTACCAGAGCAAAGCCAGACGGGTGAGTCACTGAAAATGCGGTGTTACAGTGGATGGTGCTGCTGCCTGTCCCTTGTCCCCAGCAAGCCTCTCCTATCGAAAGGCAGGCTGAGTTGACATTCAGGCAATGCAGTCAAACCCCCATTCAAGACAGAGGCAAGAAAGGCTCTTTTGCAAGGTTTTGTTCCAGCAGAGTGACAATGTCACTGAAGCACAAACCTGGGGAAGGAGGGAGAACCACGTGGAGCAGGCAGCTTATAAAGAGGAAGGTGTGGGGGGCAGAGGGGCCTGGTCTCCAGGGGTAGGGAATGACCACCAGGGGTACCAAGCCAGTGACAGGGGAAGGAGAAACCCAAGGAAGTTGTGACACCAAGTCCATGAGGAGACAGTTTTTCCCTTTGGGAGGGATGACTCTGTGATAAGTAGTTAATGTTTCCAGGGCTGAGGGTTTGGGGATTGACCAAGGGGGGACAGTTCATGGGATGCTACAGGTCACGGCTCAGGTTGGGGCCCATCTGCCCCTGCCTGCACTGCTGACACCTCCTTCCCAGGCACAGCCCTGGCTGGCTCTGTGCCTGCCCCTGGCAGCCTGGCACACTCTGCAGGTGCCCAGGGACCTCATTGCCTCACACCACTGGGAGCAGCCAGCAGGTCCTGAGGGTTGCAGAGCTCCCAGCACAGACTGTGTGAAAGCTGACAATGAGCCATAGGGCAGGGGTGCTGCTTGGGGGGAGGAAAAGGGACAAGGTGGACCCCTGGACTAGGCATGCTGTTGTGGGAAGATAAAATGTAAGAAAATAGTGCAGAAAGTAATCTCATCTCTGAGGAGTTGCAACTGTACTAATTACCAATTAGGAGCAAGCCAGCCTTTAACAGGCCACAGCTGTGTCCAGTGGAGATGAGTGCTGAAAAAGACTGAGTTGTGCTGTGAAGAGAGTTAGAGTTTGGTAGCTGTGCTGTAAAGAAGAGTCAGTGCTGTGAAAAGCTGCCCATGAGAAATCACTGAGAAAATATGGAGCTTTTGCAATAAGATAGCTGTGAGACCCACAGCCCGTGCAAAATAAAAATAGGGAAAGGTCATGGTTCAGCTCAGAGTCTGAGCATAGTGCCAGCTGTCTGTCCTGCTCCTGTACCAGCTTAGGGACCTGGAGGCCAGCTCAGGGCAGGAGCAGGAACAGGGGTCTCCCTCTCTGCCCAGGACTGCCAGAGCCCTTCTGGCTCCCGGGGTGCTGCTCAGAGCCCACCATGGGCAAAGGGGTGCAGGACAAACTGCCATTCTGAACACTTGGGTCCACCATGGGCAAAGGGGAACAGGACAGACTGGAAGTCTGAACTCCTGGGTCACCCTGCCCCAACACTCACCATCCCCTCTCCCCTCTCCCCCTGCTGCTGCTGCTGGGCCACCTGAGCAGAAGAAGATCATGATCATAATCTGCTGTGTGATCCTGGGCATCGTCATCGCCTCCACCTTCGGCGGCATTTTCGGCTAGGCTGCCCCGGGACTGTCAGTGTGCGATGGACGGAGCCGCGCGCGCCGCGGGGCCGCAGCCGCCCGGAGCCCCCGCGCAGCCCCGGAGCCTCCCAGCAGCATTTCAGTTTCATGCATGGTTGTTTGTGACGCTGTGTGTGCGGTGCGGTGCGTCTGTGTGGAGGGAGCTCCGGCCCCGGGGCGGGCGGGGGCCGGCCCTGGTGATGGCTGCGAGGGGGACCCTGCTGGGGGGAACCCGAGCTCTCATCACTGCTGCAGGCTGGGGGGAGGCTGGCACCGATGGGTGGGTGGGGGACTGTGCTGCTCACCCTGCGCTGGGCAGCGTGTGTGACAGGAGGGAGGGAGGGAGGGATGATGGGGTCAGGGGTCCTCGGGAGTGTGGTGCCCAGTCAGCCTCCCCAGCTTGCCCATCACCTCCAGCTCTCATGTCTGTCGGCCGCATCTGTGCTTGCAAACACCTTCCCTCGGGCTGCTTCTCTCCGGGGCCCTTCCCCAGGGGTGCGCTCTGCCCAGCCCTGCCTGGCCAGTGACTGTGTCTGGCTCTGGGGCTCCATCCCTGCCACTCCTCCCTCCCCACATGAGCCCTCTCCCCAGCAGGGTGCCAAAGGCTGGAGGAGCCCTGATGGAGCAGTGTGGAATGAGGAGCTGCTGCCTGGGGCCATCACAGCTGCCTGGGGACAGGAATAGGGCACGTGGGGCCAGTGCTGCTCCTGGATGCTGGCCTGACAGGGCAGGGTGGCACAGAGAGTCCAAGGCCAGTGAATTTCCCTGGCTGCTCATCCTGCAGTGCTCTCAGCCCTGGCACACGGTGCCCTGGCTGCTCTTGCCCACAGGCTGGACTCTGCCTGCCAGGCTTTGGGGCTGTTGCTGATACCCACAGCCCTGGCAGCACTCAGCTGCAAGCAGGGCTGCTCCAGCCTTGCTTCTCCACACGCATGCTGGGGGTTAGAAGCAGTTGGGCTCTCTCCTGTTGTGGTGCCAGGAGCAGCCCTTGCTGCATCCAGCCCCCTGCAAGCCAGGAGTGGCAGCCTCCCTGCTCCTGTACCCAGTCTGGCTCTGAACAGGCCAGTGCCCCACTGCCTGTTTGCCACCTCCTGGCACCGTGCCCTCCTGCCCAGCCACCCAGTGAGGATCCTGCTCTCAGTGGGAGCTGTGGCACAGCCTGGGTGCCCTGTGCCCTCTGCCGTGCCCATGGCACAGCTGCAGCTGCTGTGGGGGTCTCACTGGCAGCTCAGGGGGGTCCAGTACTGCCACTGCCTGTTTGCCTCAGGCTAGGGCCAGGGCTCCTGCCCTCACCTTCCTCTGCAGACCCCAGGGCTCTGGCTGGCCTGTGCACATGCCAAAGCACCCCAGGAGTCCCCAGGTAGGACTCACTGCCACTCTGGGACAGGGGCTGGCTGCCAGGTGCTGGCAGCAGAAAAGGGACACTTGATAGCAGCCAGTATTCCAGCCTGGGGCAGTGCCACCTCCCAGCCCCACCAGGGCAGGGCTGCTCCAAAGCTGGCAGGGTGCTGTGGCTCAGGCACTGGCTCTGTGTGTGCCCCTGGGTGCAGGGGAGAGGCAGAGGCTGCAGCCACAGAGTGCTGCCTGCCCCAGGGCCAGCCCTGACACGGCTTCTCTGCCATTGTTACCCCACAGAGCCCCTGCTGCTTGCAGCCCCCTTGGCAAGGGGGTCCAGCCTGGTTCCCCACACTGCCCAGTCCCAGCCCCTCGGGGTGCAGCCCTGGGAACAGCCCAGCCCAGAGCCCCCTTCTCTCACAGTCCCACAGCACTGATGTGAGCTCCAGCACTGCAGCCTGCGGGCACTGAAGGGCTTGGGGCACCAGGACCGTGCAAGCAGGGCTGGGAGGCAGGCAGGGGCAGGGGCTCTGCTCCAGGGGAAAAGGGAGTGGCCATGCTCCTGTCCCTCAGCAGCTCCCTGCCACTGCTGTCCAAGCTTGCTCTGCCAGGCCAGCCAGAGCCCCAGGGCCCCTCCAGGAAGCAATAACACTGGGCAGGCAGGGAAACCCTCCTCCCAGGCTCCTGCCCTGCAGCCATGCTCCTGCCCTGCAGCCATGCCAACTGCTAGCACAAGGTGACTTTTTTTTCTTCCAGGCAGCGGCTTTAGTGGCACAAGCTCACCTGACATCAGGGCTGTGGCACCCCTGTCAAGGCACAAGGCCAGGAACTGCCTCAGGGGGGGTTCTTGGCCCTTGCTCCTTGTTGGCACCACCACTGCCAGCAGCCCCCACAGCAGCAGGAGCCAGATGGGGCCAGTCAGGGCTGCTGGCACTTTGCTGGGATCCTGTGGGCAGCAGCAGTGCTGGGCTCCAAGGGCAGGGAGACGAGGAGCCACTGCTGCCCCACAGGCAGGCTCACGCTGTCCTCGCTGTGAGGGGAGGGTGTTTTGGTGCAATAATTACCCCTGCACTACGGGAAGCCCCATTGAGTTCCTTTTCACCTACCTGTCGTTGCATGTACAGACCAAATCACCAAAAGTGTGGTTGTGCTTTGGGAAGACGTTTCACCTTTTCTTTCCAGCCCCCACCCTGCACCCGCTCGTCCTTTGGGTTCCACCACCTCTGTTCCAGGTGCCACCTGCCCTCCCCACGCCGGGAGCGTGTTGATGCAGTATTCCATGAGCAGTGTGGGGCACGCACAGCTTGCACTCGAACTGGGGATTGGGGGTTTTTTTGGGTTTTTTCTTTTTTTTTTTTTGTAATTAATGTACTTGAAGGCTTTCCGAGCCCCCCGTGGAGTTCTACTGTTGCTGTACTGTGAGCTAAGTGTCCTTGTTTTCTATGTGGATCTTGACCCTGGCTTGCTCTGTCTCACTGGGCTGGATGACACTGTATGTTGCCTCTCTTCTCCTTCCCTCTTTCCCTTCCTGCTAGCATTCCTTTCTTCTCCCGAGGCTTTGGGTGCAAAACAGCTTCCCATTTTGTGGAATTTTTATGTAGAATAAACATTTGTAACTGTAAAGCTTTGGGTGGCGCCTCTCCTTGTTTCAGGGGAAGGAAAGAGGTGATGAAGGGGGTTCAGTCAGCCCCAGCACCTTGGAAGCATTAAAGCAAACAGAGTGGGCCTGGTGCCAAGCACCAACAGGAGTAAATGGGTAGTGGAGTAACACTTGAATTAGGAGCAACTTCGTCCTTATGGAGCTACACCTTGACAGTGTGGATCCTCTGCAGGCAGAGGGGAAGCTGGCAGGGAATGAGGTACCCTATTCCCACCTCAATATTCCCAGCACCAAGGGCAGGACGCAGGACACCAGCAAACACTTGCAACTCTTTGACTCTTTAGTGAGGAACTGGATATCACATCCTGGCTCACCTGGAGCTCAGCTGGCTTCCTCCACTCAGGAAGGTGATGATGGCACTGTAGAGCACTGCCCAGCAGCAGTGCCAGAGCACTGTGCACCTTCACCAGGGAAGCAGGGCTGGAAGCTTTGCTGTTTGGCAGCACCTGAGCCAGTCTGTACCTTTAAGAGCCACAGTGACCAGTCCCAGCAAGTCCCCAGGCGTGGGGTGCCATCTGTGCCATCCACAGGAGGCTCTCTGGAGGCACCCCCGTGCCACCTTGCATGGCAGCAGTGTCCAGAGCAGCTCAGAAGCGAGGCCGCCGTTTCCGCCCGGTGTATTTGGTGTCTGCCCGCACCTCCCTGTGGGAACAGCAGGAACAGCTCAGCCCCAGCTGCAGGGCACTGGGAGGGGAGGGGAGCAGGGCTGTGCCAGGAGGCTGTGCCAGGAGGCTGGGCAGTGCCAGCCTCTGAGCAGCACTCAGCTGGACTCACTTGCCCTGGCGCCGTCTGCGCTCCTTCTTCTCCAGGATCCAGTCCCGGCTTTTCTTCACAGACTTGCCCTTGACATTCCTGAACCGTGTCCTGTGGGAGAGGGGACAGCAGCTGGAGAGGAACTGAGTGTGGGGACACATTTCTCTGCCCCAGAGGACTGTCACCCAGTAGTGAGTTTCCCTCCCACCACCCTGGGCAAGAGGCTGAGCCAGCACTGGGGCAGGGGCCAAACTCCAGGCACTGGAGGAGGAGGAGGCTGATTCCAGCTCAGAGCTGAGGGGTCCTGACCCATGAACTCTCCCCAGGCCACACCCCATGTCACACCAGCACCATGCTGCTCTCTGGGGTCTCAGGGCATTACAGGCTCATGCACAACCACCTCCCCCTTGTCAGCTCTACTCCAAGCAAGGCAGACAAAGTCAGGCTTCCTACAACATTCCCAGCTCTGCTGCTGCCCTCCAAGACCACACAGCCCTTAGTCTGAGAGAGCAGAGAACAGCAATGTAAGAGGCAGGAAAACATGACAGCCACAAGCTCCTGGCAGCCATGACAACTTTCCTCTGGTTTTTGTTCTGTCTCTCCCAACGGCTGCAAGAGGGGCTCGTCCCTGCACCACTGCTGTGGGAAGAGACAGGGCCAGCAGCAGAAACCCCCAGGCCACTGCTAAGAGAAAAAAGGGAATGCCAGGACTCAGGCACAGCAGCCTGGTTCCATCATGAGCCCTGTAAACATTCCCTCTGCCACACCCTGGCATCAGCTGGAGAGCTGGACAGAAAGCACAGCTGGCTGACTGCTCAGCTACAGCTCTAGGTAAGCACCAGAGCTCCAAGGAAGAGCCATGGGAAATAACTCGTTTTGTTCCCCATGTCCCTTGGGAAGATAAAGCAGTTCTCTCCTGGGCTGCTGTGAGTTCTCCCTGTCCTTCCCCTCCCACTGTGAGAGTGTGGTTCCCAGTAAAGCTCAGCCCTGTCCTTCCCCTCCCTTTGCTTCTCCCCCAGCAGCAGTGTGGTCCCCAGTAAAGCTCAGCCCTCCAAGGCCCCCACTGTGCAGGGAGAACCTGCAGCCTCACCCCCAGGGTACCTCTCATTGGTGAACTTTGCCTGCTGAGGCTCTTCACTGGCACACTCGGTACCAAGGCCCTGGAAAACAAAATTGGGAGGTTGTGTTCTCCTCTGGAGCAGGCACAGCCCATCACAACTAAGGGGAATGCAGAGATCTGCAGGGGAAGGACCAGAGCAGGGACAAACTGGTTTTCCAGAAATCATGGCAAAAAAAGGCAGAACAGCTTTAGAGTTAGATTGGATATGGGAAGAATTTCTCCCCTGTGAGGATGGTGAGGCCCTGGCACAGGGTGCCCAGAGCAGCTGAGGCTGCGCCATCCCTGTGCAAGTGCTCAAAGCCAGGTTGGACAGGGCTTGGAGCATCCTGGGACAGTGGAAGGTGTCCCTGCCCTGGCAGGGGGTGGAACAAGATGAGCTGGGAGGACCCTTCCAACCCAAACCAGTCTGTGATGATGTGAGAGCAGGGCTTGGTGACAGCCAGAAAATGTATAAATGAAGTCACACCTGCACTCACAGAGCTGTTTGTTTGGCTCCCACACTGCCCACAGCTCCTCCACATCACCCAGGGCAGCAGCTCTGCTGCCTCGTGGAGGCCTCACCTTTGGTAATGTGCCAGATGTCCCAACAAAGAGACAGAGGAAGAACCTGAAAGAACAAGAATAAGGAGCATGAATGTGAAATTCAGCATGTGAGTCTGAGTCCCCAGGCAAGACTGAGATGGTTCATAATTGTCAGATCTGTTTAAACTCTGTCCAGAACTGTATAACGGGAGAGAGAACAGCTCAGGGAAAAAAAAAAAAAAAAAAACCAGAAAACAAAACCACCACTGCTAAACCCAGGCATCACCCCAAACAGAGAGAGATGCAGGACTCACTTCTTGGCTTTGGCACTGTTGGGGTAATCCACCACCATTCCCCCTGTGAATCCAGCTCTCATGGCCTGGGCAGTGATGAGCTCCAGCTGGGAAAAGCAGCAGGTACAAAGTTAATGAGCAATCATCCCCCAGGAATGCCCAGGAGAGCTCTGGGAGCACCACCCCAGGCTGGGCATTCCCAAGAGGGACTGCTCCTCCTCCGGCCAAGCTCTGCACTCCCATCCACACACCAATTCCTTGCCACTTCAATTTTAAGGCTCAGCCCAAGACAATCAATCTATGAAATATGTGTTTCCTCAAGCCAGGTCTCATAAGTTTTGGAAATCTATTTCACACCTAAGATAGCTCAGCTACCTTAGAAGGCATAAAATCAGCAGGATGGCTTTTGTGGTAGTGTTGGAAACAAAAAGGTATTCATAAAAGGCAAAATAACAAAACTTTTTACAGAGAAAAGCTGAGCTAGGTGCAAGAGGCCCTCCTGGCCCTGGTAAAACACCTCTCAAAAGCAATTACTTTCTTTGTTCTCTTCTTTTTCTAGTAAATTGCTTAAGCAGGACTTTTTGGCTTTTGTCTAATTAGCTATTTTTAAGTTTGAGGTGAAGTCTTTTAAGCCTATGAATTTTTTTTTTACTTAATTAAGAAGAAAAACTACGCTTATTTCCTTTTTAAAGGGACAAAAAACAACAAAGAACACATAAATCTATAAATCCTATCAATTCCTATAAATCTATGAAACAACAGAACCTGTACAAGGTATCCTCCTTACAGGTTATTTTTTTGGGCTCCTGAAGAGCTTTAGAAGTGGCAGAGGGGACAGAGACAGTGCCTTGATGAGAAAGAACAGGATGCAAACAGTAAATGATTTATTTCTCTGCCTGTAGGCCTACCTGCTCTGAGTTCTCGGGGTACAGCTGCAGCACAGCTCGGGATCCTCGGGCCTGCAGGAGACAGAGCTGGTCACACACCTGCCCCAGTGCAGGTGACCCCTCTGGGTCACCATCCCAGCCCCAAACATGAGCTCCCTCCTCCCCAAAACCTCCAGGACAAGGCTCCCAGGAGAGCTGCTCAGCCCACAGAGCCACTGAGGCACAGGGGCTATCCCAGAATCATGAACTGCTAGGTTTGGAAAAGACCAAGATCATCAAGTGCAACCTTGATGAGAAGCAGCACCAGGCAGGAAGGCAGGCAGTGGCTGCCTTCAGAGCAGCATTTACTTCAAACAATCTGCTTGAAATATCTTCTAAAAAGCAAAGTCGTAAGAGCAGCAGAGCCTTGGCTGGTGGAGGGTGGTGTTGCACACATCTTTTATGAAAGATCCTTTCCTTAGGATTTTTTTCCTCCTGAGAAGCTGAGAGGCCTCAGGAACAAAATGTAAACAATGATTATCTGCTGCTGTGGAATGCAACAGGTGCATCTGTGATTGGTCTCATGTGGTTGTTTCTAATTAATGGCCAATCACAGCCCAGCTGGCTCAGCTCTCTGTCCGAGCCACAAACCTTTGTTATCATTCTTTCCTTTCTGTTCTTAGCTTAGCTAACCTTCTGAAGAGAACCTTTTCTTCTATTCTTTTAGTATAGTTTTAATGTAATACATATCACAAAATAATAAAGCAAGCCTTCTGAAATATGCAGCCAGATCTCCATCTCTTCCCTCATCCTGAGACCCCTGTGAACCCGGTCAGAGGGTGGCACTTACCAGGGCAGTGTAGAGAGTGGAGAAGAACCTGTACAGGCGTTTGGGGGGGCTGTGGGACTTCCTGTCAGCATTACAGAGCCACTGCACTGCAGAAATACTGAGAGGGAAAAGGAGACCCTCAGGACAGAGTCATTGGTTCCTTCACAGAGCTTGTCACCTCCCTTTGAGCTGTATTCCTGCTCTAGGCATGCGCTGGGCCTCAGGGAAATCATTTCATTTCCTTTGTGTTGCTCTGCGTTCTGTTTTGCAGTTACACAAACCCCTCTGGAGACTCAAAAAACTTAACAAGATGCACAAATTAAAGGACAAAAGCATCACCAAGCATCCCCTTTAGTCCAAGTGCTCAAATCCTAGAATGACAGAATGCTTTGGGTTGTTCCAGCCCTTGCCATGGGCACAAACACCTCCCACTGGGCCAGGCTGCTCCAAGCTCTGTCCAGCCTGGCCTTGGACACATCCAGGGATGGGACAGCCACAGCTCCTCTGGGCATCCTGGAGACCTCACCACCCTCACAGGGAATAATTTATTCTCTGTATCTCACCTAAATGTTCCCCCTTTCAGCTTGAACTCTTTACTCCTGCTCCAAGCATTACAGCTCCTGAGCAGCACTGCAGAGCTCAGCTGTGTCCCTTGCCTGGCCAAGCAGGTTTTCCCAAAGAGCAATTTAAACCAGAGCTTTTGGCTCAGCAAAGGACAGCCCTTGCTTCTTCCCAGCTGTTCTCTGAGCAGGTGAGTCCCTCTGTCCCCTTCATCCCAAAGCCAAGCATCAAACCTCGATCCAGGGATTGGCTTCTCTAAGCTCTGCCCCTTTGTTCTCCTCCTTGGAGCAGGTCTCAGCCACCCTGACAATATCCCCAGCTTTACTTTCTTCCCTTTTACAAAATTCCAAGCTCAGCAGCACAAAAGGACAGGCATCACCTGGGGAAGAGCTGTCACAAGCTGTTTGTACCACCCAGAGTTCTGGAACTTTGTCCTGGAGCCAAGGCTGACAGGGCCAGTCCCTTTCAGCTGTGATTCACCAGGGGTGCACCTTGGGGACTGAGCGGTTCTGGGGGTGTCAGGAGAGCTCAGCCACAGGCACAGACTCACCTGATGCAGCCATCAAACATGCCGGGCCTGAAGGGAATGCCATGGCCCACATCTGCAAGGAGAAGGTCTCCTTCCACCTCCCTCTCCACGGCCACATCTGCACAGAACACAGCACAGCTCAGGCACTCAGCTGCCAGCCCCGGGGCCTCTGAGGGTCTCAGGGAGGTTGTGCTCACCCAGCATGGCAGGGCTGATGTCCATGCCGATCCAGTAGTGCCCCTCCTCAGAGATGTAATCCCCACTCAGCCCCGAGCCACAGCTAGAGGGAGGAAGGGGAAAGAGCTGAGCTCATGGGGCTGCTCTGACGCTGTGCTGGCCACACATACCAACGCTACAGCAGCCTGTCCCTGTTCCCCAGCCCACAAAAGGCACTGGGACACCACCACCCCTTGCCCGTGCACCGCCCCAGCCCCAGCTATGCCGTGGAATCGGGCAGAGCCCCGCTCACCCCACATCCAGCAGGAGGCACGCACGGTCCTCGGGCAGCCCCAGCAGCTCCACGGCCCGCTCCGACATCTGCGACTGGATCTCCACCACGCGGGAGCTACGGCACGGCACGGCACGGCACAGCGTGAGCGACGGGCGGGCGGCACCCCCGGCACTGCGGGACCGGACCCGCACCGGACCCGGCGGGACCCGAGCACCCCTCGCCTCCCTCAGGACCCGACCCTGCCCCTCACTCCCGGCCCCCCCGGGCTCCCGGCAGGGCCCAGGACCGACCCCCGTCCCCGGTGGGACCCCCGGTGCCCGCCCCATGGCGAGCGAGCTCCCCGCCCCACGACACCGCAGCGCCGGTCCCGCCGTACTTCTGGGTGTATTTCCGTGCCTCGGCCTCATCGTAGAACTGCAACGAGAGAGCGGCGGGCGCCGTGAGGCCTGGACCCCACAGACGTGCCCGGTTTCCCCTCCAGACCTTCCCGGTCCCCCCCGCAGACGTGCCCCGTTCACCCCCAGAGGTTCCTGGTCCCCCCCTCAGACGTTCCCGGTTCCCCCTCAGACCTGGCCGGCTCTACCCCAGACGTGCCTGATTCACCCCCAGACATGCCCGGTTCCCGGTTCCCCCCACAGACATTCCCAGCTCCCTCCAGACATTCCCGGTCCCTCGCTCAGCGCTCACCAGCTCGGGCGGCCCGCGGTGCTCGGGCCGGCGGCCGCTGCCCGCCATGCTGCTGCTGCGTGACGTCACTGCCCGGCGACCGCTGTGCCTGCACACGTCACTCCCGCCGGTGACGCCACAGTCCCGCGCCGCGGCGCTGATGGCGGCGGGCGGGCGCTGAGGCCGCCATGGGCCGGGCGGCGCTCGGGTGGCTGCGGCCGCTCCTCCCCGCGGCCCCGCGGCCCGGCCGCGCCCCGCCGCCCTCCCGGGCCGCGCACACGGCCGGTGCCGAAGCCCCGCGGCCGCGCCGCGATCTCTACGAGGTGCTGGGAGTGCCGTCCACGGCCACGGCGGCGCAGATCAAGACGGCGTACTACGAGCAGTCCTTCCGCTACCACCCCGACCGCAACGCGGGCAGCGCCGCCGCGGCCGCTCGCTTCGCCGCCGTCAGCGAGGCCTACCGGGTGCTGGGCAGCGCCGCGCTCCGCCGCAAGTACGACCGGGGGCTGCTGAGCGCCGCCGAGCTGCGGGACGCGCCCCGGCCCTCGGGCCGCGCTCCGGCCGCCGCCGCTCCGCCACCGCCCCGCGCCCCCGCCGCCCGCCCCGGGCCCGGCCCGACCCCCTTCGACTTCGACGCCTTCTACCGAGCGCACTACGGGGAGCAGCTGCAGCGGGAGCAGATCCTGCGGGCGCGGCGGGAGCAGCTGCGGCTCCAGCGGGAGGAGTACGCGGCGCAGGGACGGCTCCGGGCCCTCTCGGATTTCTCCGTCGGGCTCTTCTTCTTCCTGGGGGTTGCGTTCATCTACGGCCTCAAGTGACGGCGGGGCGGCCTCCGGGGTGTCCCCCCAGCTGCACGGTGTCGCTGGGGGTGTGCCCTGCCCCGCCCCGCGTCTGCTGTTGGGCTGTGACATTGCACCCTGCCAGCCTGACCTTCAGGCACACAGTGCCCAGGCTGGCACAGTCTGTGCCCTCTGGATGCCTCTGGGGACACAGCCTGGGCCAGGCCACTCAGGGTGACCTTGCAGGAGCTCGTGATGTGCCCCCTCAGCAAACACCTCCTGCACAGCCCTGGACTCTGGACTGGGATGTGTCCCCTCCTTGGCACAGCTGTGTGCCCTGTGTGCCTGCAGAGATTAAAGACTGTCAGAGGTGCTGTGTGCTGTGTGTGTTCGGCTGTGCCTCTGGTTCCTGCTGCTGTCACAGCTGCTGGTGCCACATCTCTGGAGCTCCTGGTGTCCCAGCTGCACCACCCTGTGGGAATGGCAGGTGCAGGAGGCTGAGATCAGACCTGAAAAATGCAACCTGAGCCCATGGCCTGGTCAGTGTGTGACACTGCCTGGAGCTGTGTGACAGCACTTTGGTGTCTGCAGTCCTCTGTCCTGTCTGGGGCCTGCCAGGAGCTTCCCAGCACCCCTCCCTGTGAGGATCTTGGCTGTGGTGCACCTGTGAGCACCCAGTGCTGTTCTCTGTGTCTTACACGTGTCTGAGCATCATTTGCACAAGAGTATTTGCCTATTTAAACACTGAAGTGTTTCGAGAACTGAAGATTGTGTTCCTCAGAACCTTTTCTCCTTCCTTGGGTGAAGGTTCACCTGTGCTATGCTGCTGCTGCCTGGAGGGAGAGAAGCTCCCTGGCCATGGCCTGAGTGTGCCAAGGACTGTGTGGGGCACTGGGTTTGCTGTCAGAGGGGTGAGCAGGAGCCTGAGCCTTGTCCAGAGCCTGGGCTCTGTTTTGTCCCAGCACAGGAATGTCACAAGTGAATGAATGCCCTGTGTCTGCTCTGTGCATTTTTGTGACCCTGCTCAGAGCCTGGGGCAGGGCACAGCAGCGACACACAGGGGTGAGATGCAGGGGTGAGATCCCAGTTTTAAATCTGCTTTAACTGGTAATACTGGAATATTGGCCATAAATGAGGGCTGGTATTTGGCATAAAGCCAGATATTCTCTGTGAAGGAGGGTGATCAGACACTGCAAGCTAATGATCTGTATTTTGGGGTGGTTTCTGGCCTGAGCCAGGACCTTCTGCTGCTTGGGATGGTTTCCAATCAGTCTACATAGCAGGGGCAAGATGCAGGTTGGGCAGGCAACTGGGAAAGAGGAAAAGAATTCTACACAGCCAGACAAGAAGAGTCTGAAACCAACCCAAAAGCTAAACCCAGCACAATGGACATGGCACAGCAGGAAACAAACCCCAGGAGGCTGCAGCTGGAGGAACCAGGGGATGGGGAGCACCCTGGGGATGGGGAGCAGCCCCCCTGCACTCAGCATCCACTGTGTGACAGTGAGGAGAGGAGCAGGAGGGGCTGGGGTGGAACAGGCTGAGAGCTCAGGCCTCCTGCCACTCTCTGCAGGGAGGGCTGGTGGGATGGGGAGGTGGGTGAGGGATGGCAAAGGGCACAGTGGGCCCTGAGGGGATGGGAAAGGCACATCTGATCCCTTGGGCTGGGATGGGAGAGGGATGAGATCCCACACAGGTTCAGGCTGATGAGAGCAGGGGGTGCCAAGCTGTGAGCAAGCCCAGCTTGGGCTCCCACAGGGTCTAACCCTCCATGGGGTGAGGGCTTTGCTGCTGGCACGAGGCACCTCTGGGCACCTTCCCCATGTGCAGGGCCAGACTGCTCCTTGGCCCCTCTCCTGCCTGTGCAGGATTGCTCTGGTTGCTCCCTGCCTGCTCTCAGCAGCTTGTGCCACCTCCAGCTGCTCACTAGAGCTCACTAGAGCTGGGGCTAAGCTCAGCCCAGGGCAGAGTGAGCTTTGCAGGGTCCTCCCTGGTGTCAGTCTGTCCCTTCACTGGGATCACAGCACTGGGATGTCACAGTGGGACACAGGAGCCTGCTGTGCCCTGCTAAAGGGAACTCTGGAGTTGGGGCTCTGGCACCTGCTGATGCATTTTCATGCTCATCTTCATCCTGTAAACAAATCACACAAAAGATCAGAGGCAGCACTTTGGGCAGGCTTTGGCAGGAAGCATTACTGTGCAGGCTGGAAGAGCCAGCAGTGTCCATGGCCCTCCTCTGGCTCCCTCCCAAACGGGGTTTGGAGTTCCTGCTGCTGGCTCCTCTCTTCCTCCTCAGGTCTCTGTGATGTATCTTGAAGATTAAAGACATCCAGCCATAAATGGGTGACAAAATGACACATCTTTCTTGTGGTGGGCCTGGGTGGTGAATATTCCTTGCACTTGCTGGAAAGCAGGGGTGAGGGGCTGTGACTGTTCACAGGGGTCTCAGGGTGAGGGAAGAGATGAGGATCTGACTCCATGTTTCAGAAGGCTTGATTTATTATTTTATGATATATATTTCATTAAAACTGTACTAAAAGAATAGAAGAAAAGGTTCTCCTCAGAAGGCTAGCTAAGCTAAGAATAGAAAGGAATGATAACAAAGGCAGCTGTCCCAGACTCTGTCTGCGCCAGCTGGGCTGTGATTGGCCATTAATTAGAAACAACCAACATGGGCCAATCCCAGATGCACCTGTTGCATTCCACAGCAGCAGATAACCATTGTTTACATTTTGTTCCTGAGGCCTCTCAGCTTCTCAGGGGGAAAAACTCCTAAGGAAAGGATTTTAAATGAAAATATGTCTGCAACAAGAGGCAGGCAGGAGTTTCACATCCTGACTTCAGCCAGTGAAGAAGAGGCCAGTGAGGCGAGCTCTGTGTGCCTTGCAGGGCAGGGGGGCCCCTCTGGAGGTCTGTTCTGTACTGCCTGGGTGACACCCAGGGGTGGCAGTGTCCTGGTGACACCCCCTGAGCTCTGCCCTGCAGCCTGGACAGGAGGGTGCCCTGAGCTCTGCAGTGTCACCTTTGCCCTGTCAGGCCTGGCTGCTGCGCTGCTCGGGGAAGCATTTCAGCAGCTTGGGCACCAAGTGGCTGGAGCTGCTCCAAATGCCCAGCCTGCCTCCCAGCTCCCAGCACACCACTGTTCTGCCCATTTTTCTCCTTGTGTCAACAGTGTCATGGCATTCTGGCTGTTCCCCAGTTGTTTCCTTGATGGAGAGGTGCCAGGAGAGCTGAGCACAGCCTGAGGGTGCCAGGGCTGTGAGCTGTACAGGGCTGGAAGATAAAGGACAGGATAAAGATTGAAGGAAGAATAAAGGAAGATAAGGCAGAGGATAAAGCTCAGTAATTCCCTGTGGCCTTTACATCTCAGCAGCCAGGATGGATCCCTGGGGACACTGACACACACAGGGTTGTTCCTGTGAGAACAGGAGCCCCTTCCTGCAGCTGGAGCAAGGCAGCCATCAGCAGGGTCATGGCAGGGGACAGCTGTGAACTGCCCCAGGTCCTTTTCCTGCTTTGGGGATGTGTCCAGTCCCTGCAGCACAGCTCAGGAGCAGACAGCAGCAGCAGCTGAGCTGTCCCCAGCCCCTCCTGGCCCAGGTGAGGTGGCAGTTTAAGCTGGGGACTTCACCATGAACATCCCAAGGGCTTTGCTAGGAGGAGTGTGATGTTCACAGCAGGGATTTCTTCCTCCTCAGTCTCCAGCCCACTGGGGCCATTTTTACAGATATTCTACCACATCCTAGCTCTCATTTCCTCACCCTGTGGCTCCCCATTTCACTGGCCTGCAGTGATGTGTGTCCATGTTGGATGCTTGTCCTTTGCTCTCTTGTCCTTTGCACCTGGTTTTGCCACTTGTGTGTCCCCAAAAGGGTGACAGCTGTCCCAGGGTGGGTTGTGATGGGGCCTCAGCCATCATCCCATGGCCTGCCCTGCTCTGCCCTGCACCTTCACCCCAGGGCTTGTTTTGTGTTGCTCATTCCCACCCTTAAATCACTGACAGCAAAGGGAAGCACCAAAATCTGAGTAGTTAACAAATGGGAATTGGATGTGTGATAAGCTAAGGAAATCTTAGGCACCAGGGAAACTTAAGCTGAAGCCCTCCAAGCTCAGTGCAGACCCCACTCCCCACCCCTGCCCCAGCCCCTTTTCATGGGCTGACATCCCCACAACTGCAGGTTTGGGCTGCTGAGCTGCCCCCTCAGCTGCTGGGGGCTGCAGCCTGGGAGTGTGGGGTCTCAGGGCCTCCTCCTGGAGCTGGGCTGCTCTTTGGGAAGGAAGGGGTCAAACCTGGCTGCTGGCAGATTGTGAGGGGCAGGAGCAGGGACTGCAGGCTGGGGAGCAGCACTGAGGGGTGGCTTCAGCCTCCTCCCCCCAAAAGGGGCTGTGAGGGGACAGCCCCTGGGACAGCCCCAGCCCCACCTGTGTGGGCACAGCTCTGCAGCCCGGGGTTGCTGCTGGTGGCTCTGCCCTCCCAGGGACGGGCTGCCACGGTTGGCAGCACCCGAGGATGGGGGCAGCATGCCCTGAGGCCACTCCTTGGTTAATAGAGTTAATTGTTAATGGACAATTAACAGCCCCGTGCCTGCTCCAGGGGCTCCAGCTGGGGCACATTGGCACCCCCTTCTTGGCTGGTGCTAGCCCAGGTTTGTACCCCTTTGGCACCCCTTTGCCTGGGGCTCAGGGGAGAGGGGGGACACCCCTCTTCTCCCAGCTGTTGTGGCTCTCCTGGACTGGGGCTGCTCCTTGTCCAGCCTGGAGCCAGGGATGGGGGCACCCCCAGCTCCCTGCCCAGCTCTGGCTGCTGCCCAGCTGGCAGAGGGCAGCAAGGAATGCAGGTGCACACCCAGTGCCAACCTCTCCTCCTCCCCAGGGTGAGCAGCAGCACCTTTACCTTCCTTGACTCCATCCTGCAGGGCAGGGACAGGCACAGGGCAGGCAGGAGGGGCAGAGGGGTCACCCTGTGCACTGCCAGCCCCTGCCTGTGAGCCAGTGTCCCTGCCTGTCCTGTGTCCCCAGTCCCTGCTGACATGTGCAGGGCCTGGAGCTGTTGGTGCCAGTGGGCAGATACCCTCAATCCCAGGGGTACAGGGTGCACCCCCTGCCAGGATCACCCCTGGGGCCAGCCCCACACTGGACAGGACCAGCTGCAGGGCGCCAGGAGCCTCCCCAGGGCAGGGGCTCACCTGGTTTGGCACCTTCCCAAAGTTTCCCAAGGTTCTCCCCCCCCTGAAGTGGGGTGGTGGCCAGCCCAGCAGGACCATGGGGATGCCAGGGCCTGCCCAGTGCTTCTGAACTTCCTGGGGTGCTGCAGGGCTCCTGTGCACTGAC